CCACAATTGAAAAGTATGAATGGAATATTATGCAAATGAACGATTAATGCTCAGATTGGTATTTTGTAATTTTCCCAAATTTGCAAACATTTATTTAAATTTTTATTAAATTCATATATGTTACACACGTAGGGCTAATCTTGTTACACTGTTCAGGGGACTCTCAACAACCATCGCAAAGTACCGTTTTCTGCGAGTTTTTGATCTTTGTTTTCACCGCGAGGGTTGCCAGGCGGTAGAAAATGCCCGGATGTCCGCCCCGAGGATACCTAACACTCCGTTTTTCGAAATCTGATCCTGATGTTTATGGATTTTTTCCCGAACAAGAAGTTGACACACATATTAACTGGAATACAGCTACAACAATCACGAAGCGTACATGTCATTGTAACTAAACATAACTATCCCACAATACACTATCATTTTGAATTGCGATATGGTCTCACGAGAGTACTAATTCTCCTTCCCAGACTTCCTTGCGGCCAGAACACCGAAAGTATAGAACTCTAGCCTGGGAGATTGGAGAATACTCCCACGGTAGGACCCTAATCCTAACAACTTCTGGATAGGAATGCGCGCATGTGGAGCAATGTACTCAATCATGTACTGATGAATTACCGGTACTCATAACATTGTTCTCGTGGGAAATTTGACGATGTTTTACGTTGCAAACGTACACTTTTATCCACGAGTCTGCAAATATCCGATGACGCCTAGTGACGTCGGTATCCCATTGTTTCCAACATTCACTGTTCCAGGACCAACAGTTCCCGCCGTTATCCCGATTACGTAAACGCTTTGCAACACTATGGTAACGCGGACATAAATAACATAAATAAGGGTTCAAGTACTTGACAAAACTAGATTTCTATAGACGGCTCCCTCTGGAGACCTGGACGCAACCTCACAGCCACCTTTTTTACAGCATCGGTATACTGAGTGTATATAGTCACGGAGGCTATGCTCTCAGTGTCTACAATTCAGCGATGGTCGTCACAAATTGGCACTAATAAACCTGCATTGGGGAATGTTAATATATATAATGTTAAGTTATGTGCATCATAAGACAAACTCTCGGGATCATGATCGAATTCTGAATATTGATATTGAACTAAATCCCTAACAAGCACGTCTATTGCATTGACTGTTGCTATATGTTTAGACTGGCCGGAAACACCATAAGAAGCAATGCAGTAGTTTTGTCTGCTTTATTTGTACTTAATAAATTATACCTTAGTAAAGGTCCCGTATTCAAAGTGTACAGAAAATAATAATTTCAACAACAATATACATGGACAGAGTACCTGTACAAACGTACAAAGTCAGTTATTAGTATGCACACATAAATACTAGTACTGTACTAGCCAGTCAGAATGCCAGGAATGCAATCTACTATATTGAGATGATAGTGTAAGACAAGTCAATTCGTAGACTTTTGTTTGACAATAGGCACAATGATTTTTTTATGGATGATCTTGAATCAGAATGCTGTAATATTACGTTGCTGAAATGTACGTGACGAGTGCATTTTCCGAAGACGTGTACCACATATAACGGTTTTATACCAACTTACTAGACTGCGTGATACTAATTGCCCCCTCTACAAACACATCATATTTAAAGGTCAGTGGTCGTCACACAACGCATGCGCGAGATATGGGTTCAATATAAAAAAGATGGCGATTTTGACTGTTGCGCTCACCCAAAATGGCTTTATTTGGTCTTCGTTCAATGACGACAGGAAACTCGTTATAAGCTCAAAACAAATCAGTTTTTTTTTCTAGTTTGTTCCCCATTCGCTATCACAGTAACGTACATGTGTTATATCCACATATATTGCGCCCAATAGCCAGACAAATGTATGACTATATATTATAGCTCTGTGTTCTCGAAAAACTTGCTGTATGCATTCGCTTTTTGTGAACCTAATATTTGTAAGGTAGCTTACATTTCACAACAATTACCCACTCAGTCGTTTCATTTTAAATAACGTTGGGTTCCTGAATAAGTTTTAATATGCGATAAATGTTGGATTAACCAAATTAGACTTGCGACATTAGTTTTACAGAGCATAACGTATTTCAACATCAGACCGTGTTTGGTAACGCACATTTCAATTAACTTTAGGGCAGAGAAATTTCTATAATTTGAAAAAAAATATTTTGCAATGTCATATTAAATTGATTTGATAAATTGAAAGTTAATGTCTTCGTCATCATTTTATATCAAAATGACATATTTAGATTTCCGCTGTATTTGAAATGTATTTTAGAACAGCATTGAGTCAGTAACATACATGTCATTTTTGTTTTGTTTAAAGTTCAATTTTAGTAACTCGAATTTTCATTATCAGTTAAACGAACTTCAAATAATGGTACTTATACGTTAAATGAAACAAAAAATGATATGTTGTCCGTAACTCGAAATTCTGTTAACTGAACATCGAGTTACAATTTGAGCGTGGTTTCGCAAAAGTGGGCGTGGTTTCTGAAATAGGGGCGTGGTCATTTTTATAACTTGACCAATTCAGCATCTCATCAATGTTGGGATCATTACGTAATACATGGCTTATTTAATGGAATACGGGTTTGATGAAACTTTAGTTTTTTTTATCATAGCCAGCAACGTATACGAGAATTCCCCTCTCAAATTTAAGATGGCTGCCTGAGACACCATTTGAAACTTTGTTTTGGTGTATGTAAAAATAGTAGAATTTAATGAGCTTGATAAAGAGATTATAAATACCATAGACACATACACACAGTTCAAATTGAATGTTATTTTTTATTTGGTTGAACGAAATCGGTGTATCAAGCAATATGAATTACAGATTGCAGTGAACGGTACAGTGTTAATTACTCAACTTGTCGATCCCCGGCACCGGCCACCAGCACCGATTCCCGCGGCGGTCGACCACGAACAAAATACTTACTAAGCAACACGGCGACAAATAGTAAATGAAAAGCAATATTTTGCTTTGTTCAAATACACACAAATAGTAATGAAATACTTACAGTCCTTTAATAATAGAGTACATAGTTCCGTGGAAACATTTTTACTAATTGTTGCCCAGTTCATGTAGCTGCAAGTGACGCAAGTGTTCGTCCCTCACACATCACAGTAAATATGCGGAACGAATTCAAGCATTCGTTTTTTCTCAAAATATACAGTTGCAGAAGTAAATTACAATACTACAGGGCTAATTGGAAAAAAAAAATTATAAATAACCCAGTCCCGAGTGTATAAAGCATTCAAATGCACCAACGTACCGTTTGGTAACGACGAAACTGTTAACAGTTTGCAAGTTCGCATTATTGCGGAAAATGTATGCAAGACGTCTGTGAAGTAAAACAGGTCTAGCAACGAAACGCTGCCCTAAACAATTTTTTGATATTGAACGCAGTAAATCTCTCGATACAAACTAGCACGTTGCACGACCCACGGGGAAAGCGCGCAAAGAACTATGGTACAGTCTACAGTCTTTCACTCGTTGACGTCACCAAATCGAATTCTCACTAAAGGTCAAGGCGTACACGAAAGAATCACTAAATCGTTTTGTTTTTAAGCGACAACTGGAATACTTAAAGCGGGAGGGTCGTCACCTGCGCTTGCGCGGGAATTGAGTCCCAAGCGACGATAACAACACACGCTAAAAACGCAAAGGTAGACGCTTGTTTGTAAACAATGACGCGCTATGGACATCTGACGCATTATGCATTGCGCTGGTGACGACTGTCCCGTTTTAACCGTCACCCAGAAAAGTACCGTGACATTTCACAACAACCTGCTTGAAAAATAAATAATTATGAATAAAATTATTCATCAAGTAAATTAAAAAAACAAACATTGCAAAATAAAAATTGAAATAATTAATAAATAATATTTTTGACACTTGAATCCAGTAATTTAATACTGTAAAATAATAAAGTTGAAGGTAAAATAACGTTAATCGAGATAATTAATAAAAACGAAAAATAAATTACAAAATTACGTACAACAACATACATATTTAGCGAATTATCTAGGCACTAGTTTAATCAAAAGTGTTGAGAAACCACGTGCCTTTCAGTAGCGCCCTCGTGAGTGATATTAAAATGATGTAGTTGGGTAAAACCAATTACGTTCATATAGACAGTTTTTTTTTTTCATGTAGTCGTTTGTTACATGCTGTGGACGCGTGAATGAAAGGAACATCCCCTGTAATTACCTACATCCTCAGCAAATTTGCTAACGAATTCCCTGTGTTGATGTCTGGAGATCGTTATCAATTTGAAACAATTTGGGCAACCTCATTCTCAAAAGGAGACAGTGGTATTTACTGAGAGGGGCGCACTGTCAAGTCGTTACTTTATGCTATATTTTCGCATGTTTTCTAGTTTTGCGCAATTTTATATGTAATAAATTATAAAGTACAATTACAACGATAAAAATTAATATGGAAAATTCATATACCGATCATACCCCTCTCTAAAAATATCTTGGTCTCCTATTGAAAATGGGATGGCCTAATCTGACAACGATCTCCAGACGCCAGCACAGGCGATTCGATAGCAAGTTTGCTGACGATGGTAATTAGGCGTTCCTTTCATTCACGCACACACAGTAAAATGCAATACAGACAACCACATATCAAAACCATATCTAAGTTTACCCATACGTCGTAAACACACTCGACACCAGAGGGCGCATATAACAAATGCATCGTCATAACTGTAAAATCATGTTTCTGAATACAAGTTGCTTCGAATGTGCATACATTGCAATATCTAACCACGTTTTCAATCTAATTTTGGGTTAATCGAATCTTACTAAATACAACAATCTAAAATCTTTAAATCTGTCAAAATACCTGTCGTTAAATGTTTCGTTTTTTTTAATGTGTCACTCGACGTGATAGTCATCACAAATAGTTGAACAATTTATAGTATGAATGAACAGGACGTTGAACACGTACAATCATTCGCAAACGTCTGCGGAATGGATAAACCTGATTATCAATAAAAAAAACCAACCATACTTGAAACTACCGTGGGATATGTGAAGAATCTCAACAAAACAACTGTTCCTAAAAGTCACGCCCTCTAGCGTCAAAATGCCTCCGTGACGTAATTGACGAAAAAGACGCCATTGACGACGTGGGAAATGTTTTAATCAGTAACCCGTCAATAGAGATTAAAATGACGAACGGCAAACCAACCAAACAGATACAGTTGTTTATTTGATTGCTTTACAACCATATACGTCATTTTTACGTCACGGAAACGCTTCCTTATAGAATAAAAAAGTGTATTATATTTTTTTTTCGGTCAAGAAATGTTTTAAAAGTCCTTGTCTTCACCAAACATAATTCGGAAGGCATTGCTAAAAATCGTAATCAAAATATAACGAGAAGAATAATATATTCACGGATGAATACTGTCATAACGTAAAATCGGGATGGGGCTTTGTAAATCACTTTGATATGTAATATTGGCGTTATATTGTTCTCTTGAAGTTTAAAGGTATTTCACGGTTTTTGATTTCCTGTGACTGAATCGCAAATGGAATCTACTTTTGTGCCCTTTTCCCTCAGACGCTCGGATGCCATTATTATTTGAATTTTTCAAAATTGAAACAGAGGGCATGCTACCCCGTCTGAAGTCCCGCTGAAATTTAGACAGGTCGGGCAATTCGGATGTACTCCTTTTTCTGCGCGGGATTTGCTTAGGCGTCGATACGGAACATACGTGTCCTCTGTCATCGAGACTGAACCCAGTCTCGATCATCTCATCTTCTTCTTCGCTCTCTTCTGTCAATGTATTTCTGGACAACGGAAGAATTGGGACACTCCCTCGACGAATGTTCATACGTCGCATTCCATCCACATTGTAATTGTCATTCGCATTATCGTTTCCGTTCCCGTTCCCACTGCACGTGTCGTCATTTCCGTTTTCACTCGTGCCTTCCGAGTCGGTACTGTCACCTGGTATGCTGAATACAACTTTTCCATTGGAACCGGGAGACTTCGCCGACTCGACTGAATCCGTACGCCTCAAATTACTAGGTTTATTGTTGTTACTTTCTATTAAAAAAAAGAAAAAGATAGAATGTAATTACGTCAGAATTCATATAATCGAGTTGTTGGTCGTTCACTGAATTTTCTGTGACGTGTCGTCGGATGTCGTGCTATTGTTCTTTTACACTCTTGTTAACGGAATGCGTTAAATCTTATACTTCTATATAGGCCTGATGAATACTCTTTCCCTGAAAACCCATGTAACTATTGGTAAGACTTCCACCACGCTGATATTTGCAAGACTACGAAACTATGAAAATATACTCGATATATAGGGAAGGAATGTGTTAACTCCATATTGGATCTTGCAAAGGATTGTGGGATAGAAAATTGAAAATTGGACTAGAGAGGGCGTTGTGGGGTGGGGGAGACTCGCATCTTTTCCATAAAGCCCTAATCAAGATGGCTGACTACATAATACTGATATAAAGTTGAATATCTAGAGAATGAAAAGATATATTAAAAAAAAAACTGTAAATTGCATTTGTGGAGCTTTTTCTTTGGGGACATTATGTTGTTTGGATTGATGTTTCCTTTAAAATCAGCTTTTACCTCTCCTGTTCTGGGTGTACAAATCGGCGTAACAAAAATAAAATTCCCTTATATCGACTATCAACAAACTGACATGTTTGTATTTTCCGCCATGACAAAGCAGGAGCATTTTTGCAATCCAGTTTTGCTACTTCCGGGATACTTTCAATGGAGTTGAGGTAGCGGGACTATTATTTACATACTTGTTTTCTTCTTCTAATTGGGACCAAACGACTACAAATAGACCCAGGAAAGTATATATTTTTGGAATCGCCAGACTTCAAGCTTTTCAAAAGTGTGTTTGTCATGCCCGTATCTGCATTCTACGGTGCGTTACTTAATCAAAAGTGAAAAATTACTTTTTTTGTAAAAAAAAATAATTACGCATTTATGCTGGTGATAAGAAGTTTTGTTTTCACTTTTCCTAGTTGTTCAATAGTCTGGTAAATTGAATGTGTCTGGACAGTTTTATTCAAGTAACACGTTTTGAAAAATAGTGTCCTGAATTTTAATTTCTGTTTTAGTCGCATTGACTCCAACTCAAACCACAACACATTGGTAAATAATCCATGAAATAGTTTGTCTGGACACATTCAAGTTCCTCTCATTGTCACCTTAAAGCTGTGAAAATTTGGTGTTAATCTGACGACATAAGTATACGTTATTTTTGTTAAAGACCTTGTATTTTGACAAACATAACCTCCTAGAAACGTCGATGAGTCACAGCAAGATTTTCAAGCT